GAAATATCACATCAAAGGTCGTGCATTAAAAAAATAGTTTTATTCGATTTTACTCCTTTGAAGAGTAAACAGTAATTGAATCACATTTAATAATCCTTCTCTTTCTGACAATCTACCTGGTTTTAATTGTTACGTCAGACGCATTGTCCTGGTTTCGCATTTTCTGATTACACACAAGTAGGTTGAATATAGATATATATATATATATATATAACACCGGCTTGTGAACAAGCTTGGTGCCAACGCCACAACAATATTAACAATACCAATAACGCGGGCGAGGGTTCGGGACACATAGTATGGGGAAAAATGACGTAACTGTCAGAATAGAAGATTACGACTAAGTGGAATAACAATTTTTTGTGTGTTTCACCGTACAATTTTTGAAATGTTTTTGTTGTTTGTGGTTTTTACGAGGCACGGGGATTCGACAAGCAGACCGTACAGCATTCGCGCCACTGACTTCTATTTCGGGTCATATCTCTCAGCGTCTCTAACCAACGACAATCTTCATCTCTCGGGCCCCAACCTGAAGGGCGGGCTGCACCAACAGAAGACAAAACTGAAACCAGCTTCTTCATACCTCTACGCCATGTCATGGTCTGACCGCCGAGGCGCGTTCTTCAGTCTTGCTCGACACGTGCGAAGAGAGCACGGAAAGGCAGTCGATGGACAATATGCAATACGTGACTAAGCCATCGGAGGCGGTGTAGAGCGATTACTTCCGTTAGAGAACGACTATCCACACGCAACACACGACGACGGACCTCGTCATTGCTCACCCGATGTTCCCACCAGACACGAGCAATGCTTCGGAGACATCGTTAGTCAAATACAGAAAGTCGATTAGCATCCTCAATGCAGAGAGGCCAGGTTTCGCAACCGTAAAGGAGAACACTACGAACTGCAGCAATGTCCACCCTTCTCTTAAGGGATAGTCGAATGTCATGGCGGTGCCACAGGTGTCGTAGTTTGGCGAAAGTAGGTTAGGTGATAGACGGACTTTGAGATCGGTTCAGTAAGTGGGGTATGAATCAATTCCTAGTTGATGAAATGGTTCTCTTGGCTGCGGCGTTTGGCTCGATGTGTCTTCAACCATGGCCTGGCACCGTCCTTCTTCGGAATAGCTCTACCACAGTAACGCGTAGAAGAACTGTGGGACCTGACAACATGCATTTAACATGTAATGTAACATATAGTTTTGTTTATTGTGTTCTCAGGTCGTTGACTGAGTAAACTCTTTTGCTTATATGAGGTGGCCTCATGTTCCGTTTATATCATCACTTTCCAGGTCATCTTGTGATATGAAATGATAATAAAAGTTCCCCGTCTGTTTTCGCTTTGGAATCGCTTCCTGTCAGAAAGAAGTCGATATCTATCTAAATAAACCGTGGTTGTTTCAAAATCATCTTTCTAATGTTGGTCGACTAAGCGTGTGATACCGGGCTGGTTAATCTGTTCCACTCTGTTTCCAGCTATCCCAGTTTGCTGAGGCTGCTCAATGCCTGTGTCATTGTGCAGCTATTGTGGCCGAACATTTGGTCAATCGTGGTCTCATTCCGGCTGGGGTTGCAGCTGTCGGTTGTGCTGATATTGCTGAGGCTGTGGGCAATTGGAATCTTTTGGAAGAGAGTTGTATCTGCGGTCCAAACGGGCCCGGGGTGAACGGGATCTGTTGTCCGTCTCCACTACTCCTACCCGACTTATGCCCATCTGTATCTGGTCTGGACACCGCCTGGTATTTCTCACCCGCTGGTTGGGCAGCTCTAATCGCCTGGACCGCGAGTGCTTTTGCAAAGGCTGATTCGCATGAACTCGTTCCACGCATCTATTCTCGTCTGATTCCGGTTTTGGAAACTTCGAACGAGTACACTCGACTGGCGGAAGTTCATGGCCGTATCAAAGAGGCATACACGGCGCTCGAAAAATTGCAAGTAGGTGATGCTTACTGTTCGCTTTTGTTGCTAATTACTCTCCTTCGCTTTCACCTCAAATACAAGTTTGTTCGTATGCCATGACATGTTGTGTTACACAGCCGAAGAGGGTGTGAGCGTAACCACTCGAAGCAATCGGATTTAGGCATTGCGTTTATAACTCGTGATTGCGATCTTTTTATACGAATAGCCAAAGCTCAGTTTGAGCTCACGGTGCTTTTTCACACGAATTTACCATAGTGAGCAGTGTTTGTCGGGTTTTCCCTCTCTCTCCTTTTCTATTCAACTTTGTTGTCGATTGTTTTACGGAAAAAGCCTTATCCTCGTGCGAGAATAGTGACATTGATTTGCTTCCAGCAAGCAGTCGGTCTGATCTGGAGTATGCTGATTAAATAGTACTGCTACGTGACGATTATGGTGAGTTGTATGCTAGTGTAGCCATGTTCGATATGCGTTTTACACTTTCAAAGTGTAAAATGTTGCTGCAGGAGACGACTGGGTTGGCCCAACCTCTAGATCTCTCTCGGACTGGGGAAGTGGCAGAGAAAGTAGACAGATTTTGCTATTTGGGCAGCTATATCATATCACTCTTGAATCTACTCATTATCCTTGGGAATTCGATCCGTTTAAATAAGCTGTATTCTCTGTGATTCTGATTTGAACATTCCAGTCTTCCTTCTTCGCTTTGAACCAGGGAGACAACCTAAAGATAGCAACAAAACACGGGTGCCTAGAAGGGCAAAGTTAATAATGGTTGTAAAGGCAGAAACTGTATTAAGCAAAACCATGAAATGTTTCTGAGGCCGATAAAACTTGGTTGGTCCTGAGGTGGTTCAGAATCCGACGTCTGTGTGAAACACTCGGCTACTTTGATCTTCCATGAGCGTCGCACTACTTTGAGTGATTTCATGGTTTTTCAACTGCGTTTTTGGGGTTTGTGGAACAAAGAATTGGAATTCAGTATATCATCAACATTTGTACTTTTGTGCAGTCTGTCGCGCTTCAGTTTATTTCTTCTTCTACAATTGAAAAAGTTATTCCACTCCTTCGATTTTCTCTTTGACATGCAGAATCCATTGAAATGGTCACAAAGCGCTCAAATCTATGCTTTCCCGTGATACGTACCTCCCTGTATTTATTTGAAA